TTCGCTTCGGATCCACGTGGTCACGTGAGGATTTCTGGGTTAAATGTATCCTGGCCCCCTCAGTATTTCTCTTATGTAAGTGTGATGGAGCCGGGAGCAGGTGGCGTGCAGCTGGGCTCTGCTGTCTGCCAGGTGGGTGTTCCCTTACACCACAAGCCGAAGTTCGCGCCATCCCAGTTAGGGGCTGCTGCCCGTCCCGCGTGTGCCATTGGAGCACCGCGAAGCCAGGACCCAGCCTTTGGGTCCATATTTCACCTCGGGGCGAAGGCTGACGCCAGTCACATGGCTGCGAGCGGGCCAACTGGGAGATTAGTATGGCTTTGTTTATTTATTTATTTTAACCTGTGACTAAGATGCAGGAGTATTTGGATGGGAGTTGCTCCTCCCAGAAAAGTGCTGTTTATATTTCAGTCTCCTGAGCAGAGTCAGTCGGATCTGAAGGGCTCATAACCCAGCAGTGGTATGTGGGCTCTGCTGGCATGTCCTCACATAACCTGGCGTTCACGCTGCCGGACAGAGTGTGGGCTGGTTGTTTGCTCATTCCGAGCGCAAATGGCCAGAAGTTTTCCTCTGTATTCCTGATTGCTGAGCTCAGAGGGGTGGAGGAGAAGAAGAGCAAGCTTTCATCTGAAAGTGGCCAGGCATTGCGTAGGGCCATACCTGGGGTTATGCTGAGAAAAACGTGACGGCGTGGGTGGGGTGATGGCTCTGTAGCCACAGACAATATTGCAGGGCTCACCTGTGCAGCATGCGTTTAGCACAGTCACTAGTAACACTGCTGTGTGTGTAAGCAAGTCAGTACCTGCTGCCATGTGATCAAAAGGAGAGATGCTTTTAGAAACATGCGAGGGTGGTGTGAAAAAACAAGTCATCTGAGGTATCGTTAACTTGTAGGGCACCTGTGGGCTAGTCGACATAAGTGAAACAGTGCACAGAAACTCCTCAAATATCGAGCGGGTGTTTATTTCCATTATCTCTACGTAATTCCACCTGTGTAAGCTACTTATTTCTTTGAGATCTTGTCAATTCAAGACCCTGGCTGTAGACACACCTAATCTCTGGGAGAAGGGCAGAGCCAGCTCAGCCAACTTTGATGGAAAATGATTTCCCAAAGCGAGGGTCTTGTTCCCTATGGCAGGGCAGAGGGCAATGCAGAGAACTAGCCAAGAAGCATTTAAAGCCTAGGGCTTTAAATAGTACCTGACTAGGTGGCTAGCAAACTAACGATATAATATGGGGAAGTAGGATTTTGTATTCTTGAGCTAAGGGAAGTTTGGACAATCCTGTTGCCATATGTCATCAGTTGCTAAAACAAGTCTCCTGAAAATGTAAAAAGTCTGTCTCCCCTCCTTGCCCTATAGCAATATAAGCAGCACAACTTCATCTGAGTTTTGTGATAAATAAATGAGTAATCCTGCCTCCAAGGCTGTCTGGGACTTCTGCACCACATCCTTGCTCCAGCTTGTACCACAGTACAGTATTTTACAATGTCTGGGATGAAGAAGATGTCTTCTGTGTAGCGTGCTGTGGTATGTTCACTGGTCACAGTGTTGTCTGTGGGATGAGAAATGGGGCAAGACTTCTCTCAAGCCATCAGTCTTGGGCATTTTCTGTTTAGCACTCTCTAATTCTTCAGCGAATCACCTGGACAGCTAATGACTGGGGTCAGGCCTGTTGGCCTTTGGTCAGCAAACTAAAACTTGTTTTTTTTTTCTGAGCTGAGTTTGTAAACAAGGCATAAGCCAAAACGTCTTTCAAGCTGCCGTGGCAAGGGCTAGAAAATAGGAGGAAACCAATGCCAGCTCAAGTGCTGTGTATGCTGAGAGCGGTGCTCTCATTTCCAGCAGGGAGGACTTTGACATCCTAAACTAGCAGCTCAGCCATGGCAGTGCAGCAGAAACCCTCCAGAGAAAGGGGACTGTGGAAACTTTCCCTTGTGTTGGTGGTACCTCCTGGTCAGAGCCCAGCAGCTGTGGGACTGCAGGGGAAGTTTGCGTGGTGCTTGTTCATGTGTTTCATGAGGGGTCTGCAGGCTCCAAGCTGCCTGTGCCCTCCTGTTCATGAGCTTCTTAAACTGTATCTTCAATGGAAAGTAACTGGGGGAGAGGAAAAGCAGCTTTCTAACCATGTTGATGCTGGCCTTTTGTCAGTGAAGAAAGACCTAGACGTTAGCGGTGCTCAGAGGTGCTGGCTGAGCCAGGTTTCATCTTGGGAACACCTCTGTAAAGATGGGGTATTTCCCAAGGAGGCAACTGTGTAAAACCGGTGTAAATGAGGCCAGGCTCATGGGGTTCTGTTCTCCAAATATGAGTTTTATATTGAGGTCAGTGGGAGGCAAAGGTGTGTCAGTCTTCGGGTGGATGGTTTTTTTGCCGCTGCCTAAGCAGAATGGGGAACGTCGGGGAAGCCTTCCTGAATGAGTTGACTACCTGCACCTTGTCTGATTTATGTCCCTCTGGCTTGTGCTGACGCACAGCCTGGTGTCAGCAAGCTTTCTTGGTGTCTAGATCGCTGCTTCCATTTGGTTAAAACATGCAAAGTGTCTTTCAGAGAGAAGGAATGGGGTTAGGGAGAGGAAGCTGTGTGAGGCTCAGTTTGCATTACTGAATCATGCCGGGCTTGGTTTGGTAATTCCTTCTCTCTAGGCCCAGAGTTGCAGTGGTTTCAGGTTTCAGCCCAGCGCAGCATCAATAAGTCCATTCTTCCAGGAAGGTCAGACTTACTTTCACTCCATCCCTCCCCTTCTCCCCGGGAGAGTAAGGCTGTTTAACGGCAACAAGGGTGCAGGGTGCAATCTGAGCAGGAGGAAGCACCTTTGCCATTTCTTGTCCTTCTGCGAGCAGGCAGGGACAGCTGTCTCCTTTCCCCACGTAACCACTGAAGTGTCCAGCAGCCCCTGTGAGGGTTCGGCTGCCTGTACCTCGAACGGAGGCCAAGGCCAGTTGGCAGGACCTCCCAGGACCGGCCCTCGTCTTAGTTTTCCCTCTGGCCCCACCAGCTCAGAAGGAGCCCCATGCTGTCGCAATAGACGTGGAGGGCATGCTTTTACTGACAGTGCCTAAGGAAAATTTGAGGTGTCTGATGACAGCGTATTTGTGCCTTAAAGCTGCTCTGTGGTACTGAAGGACAATTATTGAAATGAATAAATAAATGGACCAAAATAAAATTCAGGAAAGAAAACAGCTCAGCGGGAAAGTTATGAACGTAGCCATCAGCCTGGGTTTGTTCATTTTGGGCCGGGTGACAGTCGCAGGTGCAGAATTCAGTGACATTCAAACCTTTCTATACAGGTGAAGGGACACAAAATGGGATCTAATTTGTTCGTCATGGGGCATCACTTTCTGGCATTCTTTTTCTTTCTTGGCAAGAAACTGTGGGTAATTTATGTCAATGTCATCAAAGACATATTCTTGTTACTCTCACAACTGTGACCTTGTATCCAGCTAAAAGAGTTATAGCGGGTGACCAGTGAGATGCTCAGCTTACGTCCACAGGGCAGATTTTCCAAGCAGCAGCTATGCTGGCAGGGCTACCTGCCATGCTGTCCGGCCGCGTCGGTGCCAAGTGATTCCGGGAAAATGCGGGCAGTGACTCCACAGACCAGTAACGACAGAGGTGAATTCCTGGAAGACACCTACCAAGAGCAGCAGCCCCATGGTGTGACATACTGTGGGATGTGCTACTGTAGGGCCAACTGAAATGTGGGAGGAGGGGTCAGACCAGTCACACAGGCACGTTGCAGTGTCCTGTCCGCACAGCAGGCAGCAACCTTACTGAATCAATCGCAGAAAATTGGCTGCCTTGTCCGGGAGGAAACAGCTTAGCTGTCACAGCTTTCACTCAGAATTAGCTATGAGCTGGCCAGGCATAAATTGCTTTTAGAGTTAGTTCTGCCAGCTGCGTTACCAACAAAGCAAAAATTGTCTGAGGAACAAGGCTCGGGTTCACACGCTTAAACCCTACCTGTCATAAGGTTGCTAAACTTTTCCCTAGGGCTGGTAATACAATATTTACTGTATTGGCATGCTGTCTTTTCTGTTCGACTGCTGCATGATCGTATTATAACATGTCCTGTTGACAAGGACTAAATTCAGATCGAACTGTGTAAAGAGATAACTGTGGCCTTGATCGCTCCATGGTGAAACCAGGGTAAATTACTGGATGCCAAATGAGTTATTCCCTGTTTATTTCAGATTAAACAAGCTTAGAATCTGGCCTTCAGATCATGTTATTTCGCTAATTCAACTGGGTCATACTTATAAATTCATGTAGTGGTCAAAATGATCCAATAAATGCCAGCACACAATCCCAGCACTTGCAAAACGTCGAATGTATATATTGGCACTTTTTCTATTTGCTGACTGCAGGACAAATAGGTTTCGTATTGGGACATCAAAGTCTGTTTCAGCAACTGGATGCATGACAAAGCCATGTTATAATCTGGGTACTGATTACGGCATTGAAACATGTTGGCTCAGCATGTGGTAGATTTGGATGCGTAGATAGATCAACTTTTTAGTGGCCTATGGCTTGATTTCAGCATGGAGAATGTTGTCAGCATATTTGTGCTAATTAAGGAAACAGCATGGGAAACTCCTTTCCACTGCAGCTACAGCCAGAGCTCAGGAAATGTCATCGCTCCTCAATGTTTTTTCTAACAGCCAGTTTGTCTTGAAGTAGAGAAGCAGCTTTGTGTCTTAACTGTATTTCTAAACTGCGCTGAAGCTTGTTTGGGTCTTGTCCAAGTCTTGTGTTTTTACCTGTTTCTGGAGGATGGATTGAACTGTTAGGTCCCAAACACGTTAGAAGAGTGTTTTAGCTGTATTTGGGGCCGGCAGTGCAGGGTTAGATTCTCTGCCTTGAACGGGTTTATTTGTAATGTTGACAGTAACAGAACACCAAGAAATAAACACAAGTTTGTGCTCATGCTTCGCTAGAAGAACTTCCTTGCTGCTGAAAATAACACTTTTGCCCAACAGTAACTCTTTTTTTTCATTCAGGCACTGTTTTGGATTATGTTATGCTACTCTCAACATGTTCCTGTGTTCAAGTTCCCAAGAAGGCAGGCTGAAACGTTGCCAACTCTATTAAGTCCTTTCTGTTACACTGAGTCAGCTGCTGTGATTTTACCTTTGCTCTTGGTCAAATTATTACACTCTATTATCTTTTTGTTCTTTTTTTAAACATAAGAAATTGCAATACAAGTGTTTGTTCCATGTGCCTACGTTTCCTCGTACTTCAATGACAAAAACAGCACATTACTTTTATTATTAATAAGACAGGTACACCTAGAAGCCCTTAATGTTTTCCCAAGGGATTCACAGCCCAAACATAAAGGACAAACAAAAATGGGAGAAATTAAGTGCCGTCATTTGCATTTATAAACAGGGAACTGAGGTAACCACAATTAAAGGGGCACTTAATTCCTTCTTATTGAAAGGCCAAACAAAGAAGTCTTCAGTGAGGCTAAAAATAGACCCAGGACCAGCAGGTCTCTGTTCTGCAGACAGCTCTGAACACGGTTCTGCTCACCGGCCCCAGCAGTGCCCAGTCCAGCACAGCCATACGTCCACGTGCCCCTCCGCCTGAGCTCAGGCCAGAAGCCCAGGTCTTTTCCAGCACCTTCACTAGGTCAGCACAGTTCTCCTGTTCCCGGTACAAGGTGCTCCCAGAGCTGCTGATCTTCTGCCACCTCCACTTTAATAAGAATTATTGCTGAATCGACGTCTGCAGTGAGGGCTTGTGATGGCTGCTTGTGTTGATCATTGAATGCCTCCAGAATGGCAGCTGCTGAGAAATGGCTGCCATGTGTAGGAGGTCATGGCAGACCTTCCCCAAGTGCCAGTCCATGGGAAGAGTTTTGCAGCTCTTACAAGTTGAAGGTGGAGTCAGCTATAACCTGACTTACCTTCCTTGGCATTTTGAAGTCTGGTGAAACATGATGCATAATGACACTTATTCTGCCTTTGCAAGTAGGAGACTGCCTTTGTGCCGAAGTGTCTCATCAGTGAACCTCACCTCAATGCAGAGTGCTTATTCAGATGTAACTACGAAAATGAGGGCTGGCTAAATAAGGCCTCCGATTGAAAGGATCCACTGAAGCTCATTATAATGATCTTAATGACTTCCAATTCAGCTGTGTCTGTGATACCAGAGTGCAAAGGTAATTATGGAAGTGCTAAATACTGTTATTATTTGATATTAGTGACAGGGTGGGGGTGAGACCTATTGAGTCCTTCCCCCATCTGGCCTAGAGAGGAATGAGGGTTGCCCCCTTCCCTCCACCCTCTCAAGACCTGGGAAGGAAGGACTGTGCAGGCAGGGTGGAGCCAGGGCTCTGCTCATTCTTCCAGCTGTGGCAACCTTGGCTCTTACTTTGCCTCCATGGTGTCAGGAGGTGGCTCCTTTGCACAGCAGGAGCTTTGGTGCACGTGCAGCAAACTGGGAGAAAGGAGAAATGCCCCCACACCACCCTTCCTGCCTCCATCTTGGCAGCAGAGGAAGCAAACATGCCATCTCTCTCTGTCCCCTGCTGGTTTTGCTGGTCTTTCCCTCAGTTTACGCTGTCTCTCCTGTGGCCTGCTGGCACTACCTGATGTTGCTGGTTTTTCCCTTCATGCGCTCTCCTTACCCGCTTGATCTCAGCTGGGCCCCACCAGCACAAGCGCTCCCTTGGCTTGCATGGGATTTCCATTTTATCTGTGTTGGTGGCTCAGACTCTGCGGGCGAGGAGGGGGGCATTCAAACCTGGCTTTGAGTGGGGTCTCGAACCAGATGACCTCCCGAGGTCCCTTCCAGCCTCAATTATTCTGTGATTTGGAGGCCCTGGCTCGCTACCAACATTGTTCTAGCCCGGGAAAGTGCTAACCCTTTGACCCATGAGGAGTTTTTAAGGAAACAGTGATAACTTACATGGTTCACAATCCGCTGCCTGACTTTTGTGTAGGGCCCAACAGACTACATGACCTGCGGGAACCCTCTGTGCTGCCAGGGTCTGTACGGCAAAGCCGCAAGCACCAGCCTTGCAAGCCCTCCTGAATCATGGGTGAAACGGTGAGAGAACATTCAGTTGGATCTGCTCATTGACCATGCCAGCCTGCGCTAGGAGAAACCTGTGCGGCAATGATTCAGACTCAAATGATTACTTGACCCAAAGGAAGGCTTGATGATACACTGAGGCTGGGACACACCAGCAGTGATTATAAAATGATTCACTGCCTGTGCTCTGCCATTCAAAACATCCGCTGTATTGCACAGGCAGGGTCATTCATGGAGCCTGCAATGAGGAAGTGATATTTGCACCTTTAGCTGCCACCTTCTCACCGAACCTTTCAGCTGCTGCCTCTGGCGTGGCACTTGTCTCTCCCTGGTCATGCTGACACTAGAGAGGTTGGCTGGCAGGGGGCAGCTCCCTGATGCTGCCATGTGACTACAGCCAGGCACCTCCTCCCGATAATGCCCGTCCTCGCCCTAAGAGGGTTTGGCCAAAAGTATAGTGCAGCCGGGCATCCCAGCGTCCCCCCAACACCATCCCGTGCAGTGTGGAAGCACTTAATTGGACTTTAATGCTAAACTGAGGGGCAGGTGGGAACTCAGAGTCAAAGTCCTTTAATTCCCTGTGCTCCAGCCCGTAATTTGCACATCATTCTTCAAAACCCTCATAAATTCTTTGCATTGCTGTTCCCACTTCCATTTTTCCTGCTGTCAGAAATGTGGAGCTCACACAGCCCAGACTGCTTCTGTGTTTCCTTTATAGAGGGGCACATAGCCTGCTGTCTCTTTTCATTTCTCACGCTGCTGTCTATACTTTCTTCCTGTTCCTCCCACCTTTTTGTCCTCTCCTCTCCTCTCCTCTCCTCTCCCTCCTCTCCCCCTCTCCTTCCC